CACCACTGGCCTCGGGGGAGGGGAGGGTTACCTGGCTTTAAGGCATTTGAAGTTCCGTGAGTAAATCCAATCTTCTAGAGTTACCGTCTTAATTAAATGTTTAAAAAGACTTGATCAAGTGAAGTTTGGAATCAATATGCTTGGAGTGGCTCAGTGCTTCCCTTTGGCTGGGTGCATGAATTGTGCAAGAGTGTCTAAATATTTAGGCGGATGCGCTGATAGGTTGGTAAGCTTTGTGGATGGACGGTGGAGCAGAGCCCACGGTGAGAGCTCTCAGATATTGAAGATCCGGCAGTGCGGGCGGGAGAGTGGGTGTCCCGCGTGTTGGTGACTTGGTGACGGGATGAAAGTGAGGCTGTGGGACAGACACCCGTGGTCACTACCATGGTCACCACCCGTGGTCACCATCCGAGGCAAGGCGGGCCTTCGCTGCAGCTCCGTGAGGCGAGACCCAAACAAGGGCTTGGCGCCCTCGGCCTTCAAGGCTGCGGGATGCAGGCTGGGCCAGACCCGGCAAAAGCGGAGGCAGAAGCCAAACTCGCCGGCCCGTGCTGACTCCCAGCCTCCCGCCAGGACTCGGCAGAGGGCCCTGGGCCCCCTGGGGGCTGTGACTCCTAATGGAGGCAGACAGCCTCGTCTTTCCCCTGAGGAGCGGCTGCTGGGTTTGAACCGCTGTTCTTCAGGGGCAGCCTGATGCCTCACCCACTCGGCAGTGCCGCAGGCTCCACCCTCTGAGGGGACTCTGGATGGGTTTGAAGCTCCATCCAGCCTTCTGCTCAGCAGCCCGGTGCTCAGCCATTTGGCCCACGGACAGACAGACAGACAGTCCGGCGGCTGGGGAGCCAGCCTCTGGGTGGGGCCCAGGGTTCCCCAGGGGACGGCACTCTGGGGCGTTTCCGGGCCGGAATTCTGGGAAGTAGACGGCAAGTGCTTTCCCTGGGTGCCAGGCCGACACGTTTCCGCTCACCGCGGTCACACAGTCGCCACGCCCGGGCCTTGTCAGGCTTTCTGAATGGACGAGCCCTTGGGCACAAAGGCCGCTCCTGGGGGTCCACCTGCCCCTCCTGGCTCGCCCTGCGCTGGGGCTCCTGTCACGGCTGCACCCTCCTGCCGCTCAGGCTCTGCTGGTGGCCGAGCGCCCACGCCGCCCGGCCCGTGCCCAGCAGAGGAAGCGCCCGGGTCCTGCCGCCCTCACCGTTCTCACGTTGGAGTCCCTCCGCCTCGCCCAGGCCTCCCTCTCCCGAGCACGACGGCCTTCTCCAGGGCCTGGGCTGCTTTCTCCGACAACGTGGCCAAAGGCCGTGAGAGGACATCTCCCCCTCCTGACTCTGAGGAACCTCCGGGCTGTCCGTCCCCCAAGACCGCTGTGTTTACGTTCGCTGTTTCCCACCATTGTTCGTTCCTTCCGCACTGAAAGCGCCACAGTGCTCCCCGCGGCCCCGTGTTTTCCTGGGTGGGTCTCTCCTTACTGGCTTTGGGGCGTCTGATAGGAATCCCTTGCTGGCTGGTGCTTGGCAAGTACCTCTTCCTGCTCCGTGGGGTGCATCTTCCCCTCTTCCGATAAACAAAAACTCCCGGTGTTCTCTGTCTCTCTCAGCGGTTGACACTTTGTGTGTCTTGTTTAAGCAAGCCATCCCTAAAAAAACGAGGTCAGAAAGATAATCGCTTACATTGTCTCCTACAAGTGATTTTTATTTATGATGTGAGAGAGAAATTCAATTTCATTTTTTCCGCCTGAATAGCTAATTGTCTC